GATGCCCATGCCGCAATCCCTTCTCTTCCATTCTCCTCTTGGGATCTTGGGCACGCACGCATACGTGCCCGGCATGAGTTTAAGCCACTGGGTCTGGGACGCAAACCACAGTCGACTACATGGAAGTCCAGCGACATAGCCATTACGCTAACTGCTGGTCACACAGATTGGCTTTTCTTACGGCTCTTCTTGCCCTCACCTGGCAGCCAAGACCAGGATGCGGGTGCCCAGTGAATCCCACTGTGAAATACCAACTCAGGTTTGCTCCAGGCTTCCCTGCTCAGGCCTGCCCGGAGGCGGGGCACTTTTTCTAAAAGAACCTGGTGTCTGGACAGAGGGCCACCAGGGTTGAGCAGGTGCTGTGGCTGCCATTTTTGGTGCTGTCACCAGGACTTGAGGGGAAGAAGGACAGATAGGGCCTGACCTTCCTCCAGGTCCACGGAGCAGCGTTCTGGCCCCATCCTCGCTCAGAGCACAGGGTTCCACAGCAGCTCGTAAGGCCCGTGGATGGAAGTGTAGACGGACTGGACTGCCCGAGACCTCTCCATGACACTCCTGTCCCCCGACTCACGGGCCCAGGCACCCCAGCCACCTACCCAGGTGTCCACTGTTGCCCATTTCGGTGGACTGCAGTGCCTTGGAGAACTCGTTCCAGGAGCCAGACGCAGACTCGTCACGGACCTTCTCCCTCATGAGGGAGCCGTTTTTAAAGCTGTGGAAGTGCACACGGTGCTCAGGGAGGGAGCCAGTGCTTGCTGACTGGACCCCTGAGGCTTTGCTGAAGTGTCTCAGGCATAGGAGCTGCAGGTCAGGCTGGACCACAACCCCACTCGCAGTGCATGGCAGGGTCCCCAGACCTCAGGAATCCTTTAGGTGCCAGGCCCCATGCATGTCCCCGGGAGTCATAGGAAGCACACTTGTCTTGGGCCACCCTGGTGGAGCCCGAGGCAGAGCTGAGGTTTCCGTGTGTTCCTTCCCGTACGCTGGGGCGGGGCTAGCAATTTCTCCCAGCCTACACTTCAGCGGGTTCAGGGGCTCAGGGCTCAGGGGCTCTCCCTTCACAGCTTCCAACAGGACACCATAGGCCTGTGGTCAGAGCGCAGAACACACCCTTCATTGAGGACTACCGTTCCTATCACCGGATGGGGGTATACCCTGTACGGGGCGGGGCCGAGACACTGTGAAGGCTGTTACTCTCCCATTTTATGAGAAAAATGGGGCTCAGATACGCTATCAGGTTAGCCCAAGGGCACAGAGAATAGAGTTGTGGGGTGAGGGCTTGAACCTGGGCTTGGGAACTCGAGGTTTGGGTTCTTTCCATCGCAGCTGGGTCCCGGGGTCTCAGCTCCCCGTACAAGCCTGCTCAGTGTAATGACTTGGGACGCTTCAGCTGGCCCCGGACTCGCTGCAGTTCCTCCCTCCCACCCAGGGGAGGCGCCAACGGTGGCCCAGGCCTACCACAGAAGGGCCATGTACTGCTGGGGCTCAACAGGGTTGCAGAAGATGTGGCCCTCCAGGGCGGGCGTGGCTTCCTGGAGCCACAGGAAGAGGGTGTCGCTGGTGCCCAGGCTGACCTGGAGAGAGACGGCGGAGGGCAGGTGCCTTGAGCTGTGTCCACCCAGGTCTCCTCTGCTCTCTACCCCCCCAGCCCCATCACCTCCCTCCTCATACCGCCGACCTCACGTGAAACGCCCCTTTGTCACAGAGACGTCGTCTGACCCTCCCACAGCATAGGAGCTAGACTCAGCTCCCTCGTGGCTCCCCCGTGCCAGCTTTCCAGAACTTTCCTCAGTGACGGCTGAGGTGGGGCTGGCTTCCCAGATGACCTTCCCTAGATGCTGGAAGGCATGGGCTATGTCCTCCTTATTCACCCGGGGCATGCAAAGTCCTCTGGCCCATGTCTGACCCTCCACCATCACACCCGCCAACACTAGCAGCGGGGACCCCCCACTCAGCAAGGCAGGAGGAACTGCGGAGATGCGGCCCCGCCCTCCTAGGGACTGGCAGACGTAGCAAAGGTGCTACAGAGACCCAGCGCCTGGACTCTCAAGGCCAAAAGAGCCTGTGGGTATGAGAAGCCATCTTACCGCAATGTCACCTTCCTCCAGCCTCATGCCTGCCAGTGACGCTGAGAACGAGAGGGGAACCTCTGGTTAGACCACAGGGAACCACAAGCAAAACACAGCACGTCTGAACAGGGGCACAGTGCCGCCCCCGAACGCACACGCACCACCCACATTCTCAGGCGGAGGCAGGAGCTAGGGGCTCAGGAGACATTTGGAGAAGGTGGCAGGGGTGGGAGCCTCTGATGTGGGCTGGAAGCCTCTTTCCTAAAGGGGGTCCTACTCTCCTGCTCCCCACTGTCAGAGCGCGGCAACTCAATGAGGCCGAGACAAGACCCCGACGACATACATGGTTGAGAGAGGACGGCAGGACAGGAGCAGGGGCTTTCCTCCACTCAGCCATGGAGAGAAGGGGTGCAGGTATGTCCACGGTCTGCCCACACCTCGGATGCGAGGCCCCCAACAGCAACCTTCCTCTGCTCTTTTCACTTTTATTTATTTTTTGGAGAGGTTTTTGCTATAGAGTGTGTGCGCTCACCAGGAAGACAGAGAGAGACAGAGAGACAGAGAGACAGAAAGAGAGAAATCATCCCCCAGGAGGGATGGCCACGCCGCAATCCCTTCTCCTCCATTCTCCTCTCTGGATCTTGGGCACGCATGCATACGCGCCCAGTGTGAGTTTAAGCCACTGGGTCCAGGACTCGAACTGCAGTCGGCTACATGGGAGTCCAGCAACATAGCCATTACGCCAACTGCTAGTCCCCACCTGCCCCTTCACCACGGAACCTGGTGCTGAAAGCAGGCCTGGCACCTAGGAGGTGCTCACTTACTGTCAAGGGACTGAACGCACCAGTGATTGAGAAACAGGGAGCACCACAGGACGCGAGCACCACTGCCCAGTGTCTGGGGCCTTGGCTCCAGGACCTCCACCCCCAGATGCTTACCCTGCAGTGACAAAGACACAGGACAGGACCTGCCTCAACGCTGCTCACCCTGCCCGATCAGCAGAGCAGCGCCCGCCTACACAGTGAAATACACGCTGGGACAACGAGACCTTAGACGGCCTTAACGTGAGGTTGTAGAGGGACCAGCAAGTGGTGTGGTAGTGGAGACGCTAGACTCGCACATGGCTGACCACAGTTCTGGTCCCAGACCTGGCAGCTTGCTTTCTCACTTTCCCTTTCTCTCTCTCTCTCTCTCTCTCTGGTTAGATTAAAAAAGAATAACAAGAGACCAGCAGTTAGCGTAACGGCTATGTCGCTGAACTCCCATGTAGTCGACCACAGTTCACATCCTGGACCCAGTGGCTTAAACTCACACCAAGCGCATGTGCGTGCGTGCCCAAGATCTCGAGAGAAGATCTTGGGGGGGGGGGTGATTTCTTTCTTTCTGTCTCTCTGTCTCTCTCTGTCTGTCTGGCGAGCGCATGCGCCCTATAGCAAAAACCTCTCCAAAAAGAAAAAAAGAATATTTAAAAAGGGAAGAAGACAGGAAGGACAGACCTCACAAGTGTAATCCCAATTCGGTGGCTCTTAGGGAAGAGTGCTACTTTGCCTGGGGTGGGGGTGCTGAAGGACAGGGGTCAGGAGCTACTCAGTGCAGTCCCCCAAGCCCCCTACCTGTTCTGCAGAGATCCCAGGGCCCTCTAGGAGGGGCTCCCGGGAATCTCTAGGAGGAAGCCGAGGGCAGGCTGAGGTGGGAGGAGACAAGAAACAAGCCACGGCTACAGATCAAATGGCATGGTGGAGAGGCCAGAAACCGCACGGCCAGCTGGGGGAACTGCAGCGTTCTGGACCGGATAAGCCAGCGGGGGAGGACAGGCACAACTGCCTTCATAATCGCTGGTCAGCTTTCACCTGGAGGGAGGGCTGGTCAAGTGAGTGGCCCCTGGGGGCAGAGTCAGGGCAGAGGTGGGCACTGGGGGACAGGGGACCCCCAGAAGGACTTCATCAAAAGCCTGGAACGCCGAAGTCCAGCATGGGGCCAGCCCGTACCCCTGCAGTGCTTTGGGCCAGTGTGTAGGAAGCCAGATCCCACATGGCCAACAGCCATTTAGATCCAGCTCCAGAGGCTTCAAAAACACACCAGGGCCCCAAACCCAATGGGATGGAGAAATGGAAGAGAAGAGATTGCAGCATGACCACACCCCATCGAGGGGTGCTTTCTCCTCCCTCCCTCTGTCTCTGGTGAGTGCCCACAGCCTTAAAGAAAAACAATTAAACAAAAAGAGAGAGAGAAAGTCAGGGAAGGACCCAGTCAGGATACTCGAAGATTCGAGGGTGAAATCCCCAGAGGTACTCACCGGGGTTGTCCCCGGTGAAGGCCACCACTTGGCACCCTGGAGGAAATCCGTAGCGTTGCACGTAGTAGGAAGAAATGGCTCCCTGAGGACAGAAAGCGAGAGCTCTGTGCTGAGGTCCATCCACCCGCACCACTGTCCCGCCCTCAGGCCACCGGCTGCTGCAGGCTCCAGGCCCCCGAACTGGAAGGACCTGACGCAGAGCCCGGAGTCACATCATCGCGGTTCCGCTTGTTCGTGAATCTCGAGGAACACAGCATCCGTTTGGAGCCACTAGTGTGAGGTCATCTTGATGACCAAATTATTATCATTATCATTATTATTAGTTTAGTTTTTGCTACAGGGTACATGCACTTACCAGAAAGAGACAGAGAGAGAGAGAGAGAGAGAGGGAAAGTGAGAAATCACCCCCGGGAGGGATGGCCATACCGTAATCCCTTCTCCTCCAGTCTCCTCTCAGGGTTTTGGGCACGCATGCACCTGGGCCTAGTGTGATTCACAAGCAGCCCAGTCTAGGACTCAAAGTGGGAGGCCGGCCCTGTGGGATCTAGCGCCTTAACCACCACGCCAGCTGCTGGCCCGAAGATCATTTGATTTTGAGGTTCGAGGCAGCTAGAACAAAGCAACCCCTCATTGTACCTGCTTCGTCAGCTCCAAACTCCGGATACGGCATTAAAAGAAGAAGGCAGCGGGACATGGATGAGCTAAACCAGGGCAGTCGGTGGTACTCTGCCCGTGTTCTAACGTCCTAGCCGCCGTCTGGGAGTCAGACTCGTAGGGGAGACGTGATCAAAAGAAGGTAAACCAGAAGAGGACAGCCCCGTGGCCTGGTGTAAAAGAGCCAGATCCCACGTGGCTGGCCACAGTGTGAATCCTGAGCCTGGTGGCTTGAAAATCAGGCCGGTGGGGACCAGCAGATGGCGAAGTAGTTACACTGCTGGACTCCTACATAGTCGACCATGGTTCAAGTCCTGAACCCGGCACCTTGAAACTCATGCTAGGTGCGTGTGCATGCATGCCCAAGATCCCGGGAGGAGAATGGAGGAGAAGGGATTGTGGCATGGCCATCTCCCCTGAGGGGCGATTTCTCACTTTCCCTCTCACTGTCTCTCTCTCTCTCTAGTGAGCACACGCTTCCTAAGGCAAAAACCCCTAAAAAAATGTTTTTTAAAAGTATGTTCTGCACTAGCAGGTGGCATGGTGGTTAAAGCACTGGATTCCACATGTCCAACTCTGTGGTTCGATTCCCAGACCTGGCAGCTTAAAAAACATGTCAGATGTGTATGCGTGCGTGCCCAAAATCCCAGAGGGAGAATGGAGGAGAAGGGATTGCGATGTGGCCATCCCCCCAGGGGGTGATTTCTCGCTTTCTGTCTCTCTGTCTCTCTCTGTCTTTCTGGCAAGCACACACGCCCTATACCAAAAAAAAAGAAAAGAAGAGATGACAAAAACATGGGTCTTGCTCGCTTTCTGTCGTCACACGAAGTCCACGTGACAGACGCTGCACTTTTCAGAAGCAGTTCTTGCCCTGTCCTCAGGTGCTCATCTCTGCACGAGCTCCCTCCTGAAGGAACGCGTCCTTGGCATGAGGTGAGCGAAGGCTCTCACCATGGACAAAGGCTGCTCTTCATTTCTCACAGAGTTAAAAGCCATGTATGGAATACCACTCCTGATGGCTTGGTTATTTATTATTATTATTTTTTTGGAAAGGTTTTTTGCTATAGGGCGCATGTGCTCGCCAGAAAGATAGAGACAAAGAGACAGAAAGTGAGAAATCACCCCCCAGAGGGGATGGCCATGCTGCAATTCCTTCTCCTCTGTTCTCCTCTCAGGATCTTGGGCACGCACACACACGCGCCTGGCATGAGTTTGAGCCACCAGGTCCAGGATTCGAACCACGGTCAACTACATGGGAGTCCAGAGACATAGCCATTACATTAACTGCTGGTCTCATGGCTATTTATTTTTTTAATATTCCTCCCCCCCCCTTTTTATTTTCTTACCAGAGGGTACATGCACTCAACAGAAAGACAGAGACAGAAAGGAGGAGAGGGGCCAGCAGGTGGTGTGGTGGATAAGGGCGCTGGATTCCCACATGGCCAACCATGGTTCAAGTCCTGGACCGGGTGGCTTGTTTTCTCACTCTCCCTTTCTCTCTCTCTCTCTCGTCAAATAAAGAAAAAAAAAAATAACAATAACAAATGGGATAAATAAATAAATAATTCTTTAAAAAATGAATTGTTATTAAAAAAAAAGAAAGGAAGAAAGGAGGAGAGAAAGTACCCCCTCACCCAGTGCCATAATCCCTTCTCCTCCACATCTCTGTCCTGTTGGGATTTGGGACACACATGGACATGGTGTGTTTTTAAAGCCACGGGGGCCGGGATTTGAACCACAGTCGACCATGTGGGGCTCAGCTCCCTTAACCACGAGGCTACAGGGCTGGTCTGGGCTTCGCTATTTCCTGCTTGCCCTCCCCTTGCCTTTCATCAGGCTGTCTGGGTTTTGCGCGGCCAGCCTTTATAGGGCAGGATCATGGCGCGCTCTGGATGACGATGGTTTCACTCTGACGTTCTGCCTCACGGTGACAAAGGCTGTTCTCGGCATGTCTATGTGGATCTTAGAGACAGAGCGCTTCTGTGGCTCCCAAAAGGAAGGACACCGACAGTCCCCTCCTTCAGAGGGCCCGTCCCTCCCAGCTCCACGACCTTCTCCAGGCCTCGGGACGTCACTTCTCCCTCCTGCACACTCCACACTGGCCCTCACAGAGTTCTTCCTGGTTGTCCTGACAGGTGGCATGTGCTCTCCAGCAAGGCCCCAAATACAGGGCTCAGGCCTCTCTCCCCTCTGTGGTCCCCGCAGGACAGCCAACGTGCGTTCTGAATGGTGGCACCACGCTAATGTCCAAATACATGTTTTTTTCATTGCCAGGGGGCTGAGGGGCGATTTCTCACTTTCCCTCTCACTGTCTCTCTCTCTCTCTAGTGAGCACACGCTTCCTAAGGCAAAAACCCCTAAAAAAATGTTTTTTAAAAGTATGTTCTGCACTAGCAGGTGGCCTGGTGGTTAAAGCACTGGATTCCACATGTCCAACTCTGTGGTTCGATTCCCAGACCTGGCAGCTTAAAAAACATGTCAGATGTGTATGCGTGCGTGCCCAAAATCCCAGAGGGAGAATGGAGGAGAAGGGATTGCGATGTGGCCATCCCCCCAGGGGGTGATTTCTCGCTTTCTGTCTCTCTGTCTCTCTCTGTCTTTCTGGCAAGCACACACGCCCTATACCAAAAAAAAAGAAAAGAAGAGATGACAAAAACATGGGTCTTGCTCGCTTTCTGTCGTCACACGAAGTCCACGTGACAGACGCTGCACTTTTCAGAAGCAGTTCTTGCCCTGTCCTCAGGTGCTCATCTCTGCACGAGCTCCCTCCTGAAGGAACGCGTCCTTGGCATGAGGTGAGCGAAGGCTCTCACCATGGACAAAGGCTGCTCTTCATTTCTCACAGAGTTAAAAGCCATGTATGGAATACCACTCCTGATGGCTTGGTTATTTATTATTATTATTTTTTTGGAAAGGTTTTTTGCTATAGGGCGCATGTGCTCGCCAGAAAGATAGAGACAAAGAGACAGAAAGTGAGAAATCACCCCCCAGAGGGGATGGCCATGCTGCAATTCCTTCTCCTCTGTTCTCCTCTCAGGATCTTGGGCACGCACACACACGCGCCTGGCATGAGTTTGAGCCACCAGGTCCAGGATTCGAACCACGGTCAACTACATGGGAGTCCAGAGACATAGCCATTACATTAACTGCTGGTCTCATGGCTATTTATTTTTTTAATATTCCTCCCCCCCCCTTTTTATTTTCTTACCAGAGGGTACATGCACTCAACAGAAAGACAGAGACAGAAAGGAGGAGAGGGGCCAGCAGGTGGTGTGGTGGATAAGGGCGCTGGATTCCCACATGGCCAACCATGGTTCAAGTCCTGGACCGGGTGGCTTGTTTTCTCACTCTCCCTTTCTCTCTCTCTCTCTCGTCAAATAAAGAAAAAAAAAAATAACAATAACAAATGGGATAAATAAATAAATAATTCTTTAAAAAATGAATTGTTATTAAAAAAAAAGAAAGGAAGAAAGGAGGAGAGAAAGTACCCCCTCACCCAGTGCCATAATCCCTTCTCCTCCACATCTCTGTCCTGTTGGGATTTGGGACACACATGGACATGGTGTGTTTTTAAAGCCACGGGGGCCGGGCTTTGAACCCCAGTCGACCATGTGGGGCTCAGCTCCCTTAACCACGAGGCTACAGGGCTGGTCTGGGCTTCGCTATTTCCTGCTTGCCCTCCCCTTGCCTTTCATCAGGCTGTCTGGGTTTTGCGCGGCCAGCCTTTATAGGGCAGGATCATGGCGCGCTCTGGATGACGATGGTTTCACTCTGACGTTCTGCCTCACGGTGACAAAGGCTGTTCTCGGCATGTCTATGTGGATCTTAGAGACAGAGCGCTTCTGTGGCTCCCAAAAGGAAGGACACCGACAGTCCCCTCCTTCAGAGGGCCCGTCCCTCCCAGCTCCACGACCTTCTCCAGGCCTCGGGACGTCACTTCTCCCTCCTGCACACTCCACACTGGCCCTCACAGAGTTCTTCCTGGTTGTCCTGACAGGTGGCATGTGCTCTCCAGCAAGGCCCCAAATACAGGGCTCAGGCCTCTCTCCCCTCTGTGGTCCCCGCAGGACAGCCAACGTGCGTTCTGAATGGTGGCACCACGCTAATGTCCAAATACATGTTTTTTTCATTGCCAGGGGGGTGTGCACTTGCCAGAGACAGACAGACTTAGAGAGAGAGAAAGAGAACAGAGAGAAATGGAGAAAGCACCCCTCCCCCCATGTAGATGTGGTCATGCCGCAATCCCTTCTCTTCCACTTCTCCATCTGCAGGGATCTGGGGCACGCGTGCACACATACCTGCTGTGTTTTTCCTTTTTTCTCTTTTCTTTTTTAAAAGAATTATTTATTTAATTTGTATTTATTCATTCAGTCATTTTCACTTGACCAGAGAAAGACAGGCACACGGAGAGAAGGAAAGTGAGAAAGCAAGCCACCAGGTCCAAGACTCGAACCATGTAGTCGGCCATGTGGGAGTGTCCAGAGCCTTAATCACCACGCCACCTGCTGGCCCCCTGGTATGTTTTTCCAGATGGCAGAGCCAAGAGTTGAACCTTGGTTGGCCACGTGGGATCTGGCTCCTTTAACCTCCAGGAGAGCCACCGGTCAGGTCGGGGAGCAGCTCTTACACAGGACATGTCCCTAGGAAGGGGACTTACCACAACAGAGCATGATGGCACTGGAGGGCCAAGCTTTTCCTCTAAATGCGGGGCACAGGCTCCAAGGCAAGCCTGGGACCAGACTTTGTCCTGGATCTGCAACAAATTCATCCCAGAACCTGAAGGAAGAGGACAGAACATACGAACACCTTGAAAAAAGGCCTTTTGTGAAAACGCACAACCGCAGCAGACAGCAGCTCACTCTCTCACAGCAAGCCTGCACCCGGAGCGCCATCCTCGTGGGACGTGTGCAATACGCCTTCATCGTTCCCCAGGGCTGCACGGGCAGCAGGGCCCTTGGAAATGCATGGCACCACGGTCTCCTCCAAATACGCCTACCCCAGCTCCAGGGAGCCTGGAGAGCTGCGCCTCTCAGACCTGCCAGGGACGGGGAGCTATGAGTGACACACTGACGAGGAAGCACCCAGGACTCTGGCGTTGCGGTATCACCCTCTAGGATTTATCACCGCGTCTGACTTTTTGAGGAAAAAAAAAGTACCTGACTCCAGATACGATGTGAGATAATACACGGCTAGCGTTGGGGTCGTTTGTTACGCAGCAAAAGATGACTAATACATGGGGCCAGCTGGTGACATGGCGGTTAAGGAGGCTGGATCCCACAAGGCCAACTACACAGTCTGAGTCTGGACCAGGCAGCTTGAAAATCTGTAGGGTGTATATGCATGCATGCCCAAAATCCCAAGAGGAGAAAGGAGGAGAAGGGACTTCAGAGTGGCCATGAGCCCTGGCAGGGGGGAGGGGGCGATGCTTTCTCACTTTCCCTCTTTCTCTCTCTAGTGAGTGCAGAGGATATGGATCAGCCCTCAGGAATTTTAGCAAAGTTAAAAAAAATAAATAATAAAGAAAACTAACACTTTATTCTCTTGGCAGTAGATGACCGGGGTGCAAGATTGGCACCCACCCAGGGTAGATGAGTGTGAGAGTTTTGAATGTCAGCTTGACTGAACTAAGACCCAGAAAAAGCTTTACTCTGGGTGTGTCCATGGAGCTGTTTCCAGAAGAGATTAACATGGGTGTCTAAGTAGACCGGATGGGGGAGATCTAATCTCAGTGTGGATGGGCTTGATCCAACCAAGGGGCCCAGAGAGAATCCATACAGAAGACGGCGGGTCTCTTGTGAGACAGAGCAAGCTAGCCTTCTGCTACTGCCTGGGGCATCAAAGTTCAAGGCCCGCCTGCGTTCGGCTCCAGGATTCACACCCGTGGCTCCCTGGGCTCCTGCTTTCAGCCTCGAACTGAGTTAATCACCACCTTCCCTGCCTCTGAGGGCTCTGGACTTGGACTGCCCTGCCTACCATATCCCAGGGGCTCAGCTTCTGGAGGCTCGTTGTGGGACGTCTCAGTTGCTATAATCCCATGAGCTGATTTCGCCAGTAAGTCCCTCATTCTTAAACATTTCTTATTTTTTAAAAGAAATTTTTGCTATAGGGCGTGTGCGCTCGCCAGAGAGAGACAGAGATACAGAAAGGGAGAAATCACCCCTCAGGGGAGATGGCCACGCCACAATCCCTTCTCCACTCTCCTCTCAGGATTTTGGGCACACATGCACATGCACCCAGCATGAGGTTTAAACCACCAGGCCTGGGACTTGAACTGCAGAGACTACGTGCGAGTCCAGCCATGTAACTATGATGCCAGCTACTGGTCCCAAGTCCCCTTTTACATATCTATACAATCCTACTGGGTCTGTCTCCCTAGAGGACCCCGATTAACACAAAGAGTCTCTCACTACACGCACGTCCCCACGTCCCCTGAGCAGGCATGCACGCAGCCCCGGGAAGGCTTACCATCGCTGTAGTCAATGGGGGCGTAAGAGCCTAGGAACAGAGACGCGGCAAAGCTACTGACCAAAGAAATTCTCTGTAAAGAAGGAAACACAGGGACCAGCAGTTAGCATAATGGCTATGTCGCTGGACTTCCATGTAGTCGACCGTGGTTTGAGTCCCAAACCCGGTGGCTTAAACTCATGCCGGGTACGTGTGTGTGCATGCCCAAGATCCCGAGAGGAGAATGGAGGAGAAGGGATTGTGGCGTGGCCATCACCCCTGGGGGGTGATTTCTCACTTTCTGTCTCTCTGTCTCTCTCTGTCTTTCTGGCGAGCACACGTGTCCTATAGCAAAAACCTCAAAAAATAAAAAAGAAGGAAACACAGAGGGATGAGTCTCTCCCACAGACCCTATGAGGCTGACGCTTCTCTCACGTGACATGAAAGGTTTGGAACTGGGAGGGCACAGTAGAAACTGAGCTGAGCAAAATGCCCCAGCAATGGTGGAGATGGCTTACTCCAGATAAGAGCAGCTGGAATACTGAGACCTGAGCTGCTCCTGGTGCAGGAGTAATGCACTGCTCGAGAGAAGCCAGATCCCACGTGGTGACTGTGGTTCAAATCCCCGGCCTGGTCACCCTGAAACATGCCAGGCACGTCCGCAAGTGCCCAGATTTGATGGGCTGGAGGCCTGGAAGAAGTGGATGGCGGAGTGACCAGACCCTGTGAAGGATCCTTCTCTCTCTCACACTCGGAAACAAGCACATACATTTAAAAAAAAAAAAAAAAAAGCCAATTTATAGGGGCCGGTAGGTGGCATGGTGGTTGAGGACAATGAACTCTCATATGGCCAACCACGGTTCAAGTCCCAGACCTAGTCAACCACCGTCAGAGTCCTGGACCCAGAGGCTTAAAACTCACGCCAGGTGCGTGTGCGTGCGTGCCCAAAAGCCTGAGAGGAGAATGGAGGAGAAGGGATTGCGGCATGGTCATCCTCCCTGGGGGGTGATTTCTTGCTTTGTGTCTCTCTGTCTCTCTTTTCCTCTCTGGTGAGTGCACAAGCCCTATAGCCAAAATCATGTCACTGGAAACGTGAATTGAATATGTTATTTAAAAGAAAGTTCTTTTATTTATTTAATGAGAGACAGAGAAAAAGACAATCACCGTCAACAGGGTCTCACACCACGATCCTCGCCCAGCCTCCCCAGACAGCCAGGACCACCACACACGCACCCCCGGTGTGCACGGGTCAACACGGGACCTGAACCCTGATCTTCCATATGGTTTCAGCGTCTACCACTGCACCACGGGACAGGGCCTGAATATATCTTTTTTAATGTCTGCTCCTCAGTGTTTTTAGCCAATGCACACGAGATGCACTTAAATTAAAGGTAAGTATCATAAAAGGAATTCGAGGGTGACTTCCAACTGAACGTGAACGCTTAACCAACCTCTGTGCGCGAGTAGGCCTCCGGATTCTGCTGGTAAATCTTTGCAATTTGGTTTCCTGTAAAACGCTGGGAAAGGAATGCAAATTCGTGAAAGCTCAAATCCTACACAAAACAAATAACTAACTCTATAACGTGGGTTTAACGTCACATGCTTTGGATATTAGTTGATATAATAACAGCTTTTGAAAAGTCCCAAATCTGGAAATGCTTGATACCTGCTG